TTTGGTTTTGGAGTCAGGGTCTCTGTATAATAGCCCCAGCTGCTGACTGGAACTTGCTATATAGTCTGGGTTGGCCTTAATCTCACAGAGATCCACTGCTTTTGCTTCCCAATGTGCCACCATGCCTGGCACTAAATTTTTTTTTTAGGAAAATTTTTTGGAACAAAAAATGCTTCAAGTTTATAAGAAACCTTTGTCACCATCATCATGAAAATTTAGATCATGTTACAGTGTCCACCTGTGGTAGTGACAGGTGCAAAGCACAGTTTTAGCCTGAGAAAGTTAGATAGAAGCGCTTCTGATTGATTTCCGTCTTTCCAATTCCACATACATAAGCAACTTCTTTTTATAATTTCCCTTACCACTTTAGTTCTATGTGTCTGCAAAAGTATATTGCTTATGATAGCAGAAATATTCCAAACCATTTAACATTCACATTTAAATAGATTTTATTCCCTTGATAGCAACCATTTGGTATTCTGGTTCTAGAAAGTCAAAGAGCCTGAATCAGAATCTGTCCAAAATCATAAAACTAGAGCAAATGGACTTTCAGGAATTTAAATCACATTCCTTCCCTTTAATCAATTATCTATTGATTATAAAATTGTCTATTTTGTCATGTTAGCTATTTTTTTGAAATTTGGTATTAAACTGTGATTGTAGTGAATTTTGGTGATTGAAATATGCAAACAGTATAATAGCTCTACATTACCTTTTCCTTTCAGGATAATTATTCTGATATTTTTTTTTTTTGGTCTTTTTGAGACAGGGTCTCCCTGTGGCCCCAGCTGGCCTGGAGCTCCTGTGGACCAGGCTGGCTTTGAACTCACAGAGATCCACCTGCCTGGGATTAAAGGCGTGTATCACCACTCCTGGTCCTCATTATCTTGTTTATAAACTGTTTTAATTAGTGAAGGCCTTTTCTGTTTTAATTCTTCCATTACTTAATTATTGTGATCTTCCATGAACTCAGCATGCTACCTGTACTTTTTTATTTGACATACCTCAAAATAATATGTTTGTCCATGTAATCTGCTTGCTAGTATTGTCTATAGGTAGTCTAATATAAGAT